GGACAACCCAGATAGTGTGGTTGCTGACCTTGAGCCAGACATGCTAGAGAGTGAAGTCAAGTGGTCCTTAGAAAGCATGGCTAACCATAAGGCCAGTGGAGGTGATGGCATTCCAGTTGAACTATTTAAAATCTTAAAAGATGACGCTGTTAGGGTGCTACACGCAATATGCCAGCAAGTTTGGAAAACTCAACAGTGGCCAGATGATTAGAAAAGATCAATCTACATCCCAATCCCAAAGAAGGACAGTGCCAAAGAATGCTCCAACTACCATACAATTGCACTCATTTCACACTCTAGCAAGGTTATGCTCAACATCCTACAAGGTAGGTTTCAGCAGTATGTGGACCGAGAACTCCCAGAAGTACAAGCTGGATTTCCAAGGGGCAGAGGAACTAGAGACCAAATTGCTAATATGCGCTGGATTATGGAGAAAGCCAGAGAGTTCCAGAAAAACATCTACTTCTGCTTCATTGACTATGCAAAAGCCTTTGACTGTGTCGGCCACAGCAAACTATGACAAGTCCTTAAAGAAATTGGAGTGCCTGATCACCTTATCTACCTCCTGAGAAACCTGTATATGGGACAGGAAGCAACAGTTAGAACTGGATATGGAAACGCTGATTGGTTCAAAATTGGGAAAGGAGTATGACAATGCTGTATATTGTCCGCTTGCTTATTTAACTTATATGCAGAATACATCATGCGAAAGGCCGGACTGGAGGAATTTCAAGCCGGAATTAAGATTGCCAAAAAAATATCAACAACCTCCGATATGGAGATGATACCACTCTGATGGCAGAAAGTGAGGAGGAAGTAAAGAACCTTGTAATGAGGGTGAAAGAGGAGAGTGCAAAAAATGATCTGAAGCTCAGATCAAAAAAACTAAGCTCATGGCCACTGGTCCTATCACCTCCTGGCAAATAGAAGGGGAAGATATGGAGGCAGTGATGGATTTCACTTTCTTGGGCTCCATGATCACTGCAGATGGTGACTGCAGCTATGAAATTAAGAGACGCCTGCTTCTTGGGAGGAAAGCAATGACAAACCTTGACAGCGTCTTAAAAAGTAGAGACATCACTTTGCTAACAGAAGTTCGAAAAGTGAAAGCTATGGTTTTCCCTGTAGTGATGTACCGAAGTGAGAGCTGGACCATAAAGAAAGCTGACCGCTGAAGAATTGATGCTTTTGAATTGTGGTGTTGGAGGAGGTTCTTGAGAGTCCCATGGACTGCAAGGGGAACAAACCTATCCATTCTAAAGGAAATCAAGCCTGAGTGCTCACTGGAAGGACAGATCCTGAAGTGGAGGCTCCAATACTTTGGCAATCTCATGAGAAGACTCCCTGGAAAAGATGTCATCGAAGTGACCAACATGAATTTAACCCAACTCCGGGAGGCAGTGGAAGACAGGAGGGCCTGGCGTGTTCTGGTCCATGGGGTCACGAAGAGTCGGACATGACTAAATAACTAAACAACAACAAGAACAGGATTGCACCATGAGAAAGGCTTACTGTAGATATGCAAATGCCTCCAGGCTTTAATTGCAATCTTATACATTACTCAAAGTTCCAGTGAATGGAACTGGGCTTACTTCCAGAGCATGCATATAAGCTTGCACATCTGTTCACAAGTAGCTGAAAATTCAGTCTCACTGAATTTACTGTAGCCACTTTTGGATATACAGTACTTGCTTGGAAATCAGTTGTTAATCTGATACATTTACTGACAGAATAGCAAGCAAAAAGATTTTTAACATAACACTCAACTTTTTCGAATATCCCTCACACAATAAAAGGAAAACATATCAGCATCTTCTAATCTGTTAGTCTCCAGAGTATGGGGTTACCACTCTCATCATCCATACATTAGTTATGATGGGCTCTGTAGTCCACTACTTTGGGGTTGTAGGTCACTTCAGAAGTCGTGAAGTGCAGAAGGGGGAAGTCAGACAACAATCGAAACCTATTCTTTACTGAAAAATGAATTTCTTTATGGTGGTATGACCTTGATGTGTTTATTAAACCATAGATGAAAAATGAAATTTCAAGATGACCTGATTGACTGTAAGAGTAACAGTTGACCAAGCCAGATGTTAAGCAAATAAAATTGCTTCAGTGAAATTACTATTGGATTCATGTACTCTGTGCCTAAATCACACTGGCCACGTGACCACGGAAAGATTGTCTTCGGACAAACGCTGGCTCTATGGCTTGAAGAGCGGGATGAGCGCCGCCCCCTAGAGTCGGACACGACTGGACAAAAAAATTGTCAAGGGGAACCTTTACCTTTACCTTACCTTGGAAGAACAATGCAGTAAAAACAAATCATAAGGGTGATAGTGGGATTAATGTGCAGGAAATGTCAAGATGAGAGTAATATATAGGTGTGTTTATGCAAAATACATTTAGGAATGAAGCAGTATATGCAGAAAGTGAAAATAGATTAAATGATAAGCCTGATCAGAACAAACGTCATTATCACTTTTAAATAAGACCTACTATGGAGGCAATCTTTTCTCCCTAAGACTAAATTGTCTATCTGCAGGGGGAAATGTGACTCACATGGAAGAACAGCAAACTACAAAACTTTTCGCACTCCCATGAAACAACCTTAAAGCAGCTATTAGAGACGCAGGCCGTGGCACACAAGAGGGCAGCCCCCAGAGATTAGCTGCCTCCTAGTTACCCAACAAACCTGCGCTATCCCTGACAGTGCATCTGAGACATAAATTCATCATCTTGACATTCAGCTCCTGCTGAACCAAGAAGCCACACATGCACACCCATGAACCAGCAAATATTTTATCATTCATGCTGCAACAGCCACAGTTAATAGAACAGAGAAAACAATTGAGAGAGGCATAATTAGAGGATGTGGGGAAAAGGAATTCTACTTGTATCCCTCTAGAGACCATTTTATCATACACAGCAGGGGAAATGTAGCATGCCTTCAGAAATGCTATGACAGCCTCTCTCACTTTACCCAATAAAAAGCACCACTTTTGAGTAAAACTCAAGGTGGATCACTGAAGAGTAACCTGGCAGGCATTAAAGGAATACTATTTAACGCTAAAGATAAGACATCTCTCTGTTCCCAAGAAATGAATGATCAGCAGCTGATAAGAAGCCCAGATCTCCAGAAAAAGAGTTAAGGGGGAAGGAAGAGAAAAGTAATTTAAACAGTGCAGAAACTAAGCTCATGAAAACAGGAAAGGTTGTGTTAATTTCTTCTTAAGATATTTAAAGACTTTTCTATTTAGGACAGAAGCAGCACTGCCAAAATTAAGGTAACAACTGTGGCCCAGGAGAGAGACTGGGTGAGTCCTGAACTGTTGAGTTCTATTTCAAAGGCATGTTTGCAACTCTCTCGGTAAATCGTTCTTCAAGAGTAAGCCTCGCAACCTTCCCTCTCCTGCCTGGTTCATGACTGAAGCCTTTAGGAATGAACTCTCTCTGGCCTCCCCATCTCACCCATGTTTACTCCAGAGCAAGTGCCCCGACTTCCACGTCGCTAGCTTCCACTCTAATAATCACATTTCGTTCGGGCTTCTTCCGCGGCTGCAGCCTTATGACCCTATAAACTAGAATCTCACTGCACGCCGCAGGGCTTGCTCGCAAGCAAGCGGCTCTCGGATTGTTTCCTCCCACCGCCTTCATCCGGTGGTTTCGAGCCGCCGAACTCAAGGTTCCGGGGCAAGGCTGCACGATCTCGTGGTTCCGAGGGCAACAAGGAAAGGCTGCTTCGAGGGAGGTGTTTTTCCGCTCAAACTTCTTTCCAGAACGAGGGAAACGGGCGCGGGCAAATCAGCAATCGCAATGCAGATCCACAACCCTTCCAAGAAGGGCGATGCAAAAGAAAAAGAAAGGAAAAGAAAAAGGAAAAAAAATGTCCTTTTTTCCCCCTTCCCGAAAAGCCAGCCGTTTGAGTTAACGGGAACAGCTTTAGTCTCCCCAGAGAAGGCTACCTGACGCCCGATCTCTCTCCCCTCAGCCCGACAAAAGCGCAACGACGCGCAGAAACTCAGCGGCGCGGGCAAACGCGGCGCTCCCCCTGGGTGATCCCCGAGCGCGACTCAAGCCACCAGGCGATCCCCGTTCCCGCCTGCGCAGAAGTCCCCGCAAGTTGCGCGGGGCTGCCTCCCGGGTGAGCGGCACCGCCTGCGCGATGCCCGGGTCTTTCGCTCCCCTCCCCTCCCGCGCCCCTCACCGCCCCGAGCCTCACGAGAAAGGCGGTGAAGGGATAAGCGCCGGAACGAAGGAAGGAAAGAAAGAAAGAAAAAGGGGTGCTTACGCGGGTCACCCGAGGAGTCAGCAGCGCCGGTCAAGTCCCCAGCTGGCATCCTGCGCAAAGCGGCGCAGCCAGCCGGAGAACCGAGGTGGAGGGAAGCTGCGAGTCCCCCCCCCCC